TTTTTTTTTAATTTTTCAAATCAAACTAATGATACGGAGTTAAAACTAAACTCGTTAGCTTTCAATTATGATAACGAGGAGAAAAAGTAACAGCGTTTTCAAAACGAAAAAAAAAATAATGGAGAAAATAATTAAAGAGCTTTTCTTAATTTTAAATCATTAACTATTTAACCAAAACAACACGAATATAAATTTCCCAAAAAAACTGAAATCTTCTGCACGCAAACAAGTACTCATATGTATAAAAACCAAAACGTGTTGACAGAGAAAAAACTTAAAAACAATTACAGCCTCAAATATTTATATTATTTTATTTAAAATTTTTGTTTTTGGCCAAAAAGAGAGCTTCGCTTTCGCCTGCTCAATGAGCTTTAGCGCCCACAAACTACAATTGCAGATATTAGTTTTTTAAATAATGTAAATCCCTTAAGAAATAAACTGCCGTTAATAGATAAATTACTAGGGTATCAAAGTAAAATATAGCAAAATACAAAAGCAAACAAGCAAAAAACAAAAACTAATTATATATATATGTATATAAAAATGAAAAAACAAAGCCATTAATACATATGCATACTTACTCTTACTTAAAACCGCAAAGCAAATTCTAAACACACACAAACTTTAAACAGCATAAATAAATATATAAAATACTACAAATTATTCTATACACTAACAAACAGAGCTATAATAACAAGCAAGACAAACAAAACGCTGATCTAGTAGGCAGATTTTAATAAACAGTGAAAATATCGAACAAACTCAAAAGAAGTAAAAAATATTGCAGGTAAGCATCTGGCTTTTCAAAGCAACAACAATCACCCACCCGCTACATACACTGATACCACCCGAAATCCTGAAACAAACGAAAATACAAATTTAACAGAACTTTCTTTAGAACTAGCAAAATTAACGCTGAAGCTCGAAACGCATTTTCAGACAGTTATTTTAGGTAGAATTTTAGCTGAGTGTGAGCAATGTTAGTGTGACTTGCCATAAGTGACTTTAAGTTAAATTGAGGTTATGAAATTTGTTTAGATACTTATAAAGGTTAAAAATTGGAGTATAAGTAACAGTTTTTGTTCACTATTTTATTGGATCTTGAGTTCAAATCATATCCATAAATTAAGCAATACAGCGCTTGCTGATCTTATTGTATCTTGAGTTCAATATAAAATCCCTTAGATGACATGGTTTGTCTTTCAATTGAACTGAACTGTCCAGTTCTCAAATTATACTCAAAAGCCGATGGAAAGTATTTTTAAAAAATGAAAGAAATCGCGTGATTCGAGAAGTCATAATAGACTCAACTCTCTTCGTGCAAAAGATATAAAGATATTCCTCTGAGATTAAGGAATAATACTCTAAGCCCACTTCTCTCATTAGGTAATATTCAATGACTACAAAACCACTGGTTCTAGTGGTCACCTCTGACTGTAACTCAAGTGGGAAAAGTTTTCTATATACATATCGTAACCCATTTTCATTCGAAGATCGGGGAGTCTCGCCTAAAGTAAAAACATAGCGGGCATAGAATTAGATTTAAGGGGCAAACTTAATATGGCAACTTAAAAAACAGCGATTGCAAACATAAAAGTGCTGTGTCAATTTTTTTTATTTTGACCTTAAGAGTATATTTTGACTTAAAAAAAGGTTCTCCACTTCTCCAGTGATACCGGTCTTCTCTATGATAGGAACCTGAAAAAATTCGTAACAAAAGATATTGGCCAAACCAAAATTTGCAAAATGGTCAAGAGCTAGAAGGTCATTGTATGGAGAAATATATACAAAACAAAAAAACAATTACATTGAATAGTAAACTAATGGAACTGAGCAGCGGCAATTCAAAAACTATTGGAGATTAAAATTTCGGCCTCTCACTTTTAAGGGTGGAGGCTGCCAAAATGTGAAAAAATCGCTTTTTTCTATTTCACAACCCTTAAATAGCTGTTTGGAAAATTCTTGCTGTTTTGACAGTCTAAAATAAGATTTTGTTATTGATGAAAGTAGTTCTGTCAGCACCCTTTATGTAACCTAAACAGGGTATATTGAGTTTGCCACGATGTTTGTAACCACCAAAATGAAGCCTCAGAGGCCCTAAATGATCTGATTGGTGGGCAAAGTCCATTTAGCCATGTCCATCTGTCTGTCAGTCTGAATATAACGTGAACTTTTCCTTCAGTTTTCGAGATATCGATCTGGAATTTCTCACCCGTTTTTTTCTCACCCAGAAGCTGATCCGATTAAAGTTCTTGTAAAATATCTTTATTATGTGAGAAGCGTGTTATACCTTCATTGTAACCGAAATCAGCGGGTTTCTTGTTGAACTCTGGTAAAATCTCGTTTATACTACAAACGGTATAACCGCAATGTAACTGGATTTCTTGCTGAATTCTAAAGTAGTAAAATCTCGTTTGTGTTTTACTGATGTATTAAGATATTTGATTTCGAAATTTTAGCAAATATTCTTCTTTATTGGCGTAGTCATATCTTACGAGTTTATTTTTCTCAACTTTTACAATAAATTATCTCCCAACCTATGGGGTCAATAAGTCCACTACGTTGCTTACATAAGAAAAAATTATATATACTACAATGTTTACAGTTACTATTTTATTTTACCGTTATTGTTTTTTGAAAATAATTTAGAAAACAATAACCATTTTACTCTCTTTAACCCCACGATGCAAAATCAATGATAAAAGTACAAAATGGAAAAAGTGTAAAATGTACACGCGTCAGTATCCCAAACGAGCGAACATACAAACAAACCAACTGAAAATAAATGTATAAACAATTAAAAAATATATGAATAGAGTTAAATAACAAAACAAACGAACCGTTAACCGCTCTTATGATCACCTACAAACACACACACAAACACATATAAATAAATAAACACATACACACAAAGTGAAAGCTACAAAAAAGTTAAACAATGACAACAACAAAAATGCATTCTAACTGCGCGACTACAAAGCGGCAAATTTAACTGTATATTGTGTGCTTTCCTATTAGCAAATTAATTTTTCGAAAATGCGCGTCAAATATTTAACCAAAAACATAACGCTAACGCCTTGCAAGCTACACGCCACAAAAAACTGCAATATTTTTGCTTGCGCATTTGCCGCTCACTTAGTTTTTTTTTATTTATGTACAAACATACATACAAATTTCTGTATAATTTTTTGCAGCCGATTTTTCGTCACAATTTGTCACATCAAATCCCCCGCAGCAGCAACAACCAAATTATATGCAAGCATAAACACATACACACACACACACAAAAATGATGACTGAAAATATGCAATTTTTTTAAGTTGCACTATTTGTAAATTAAATATCAAAATGTTATTGTGTACATAGGAGAAAAAATAGCTAAAAGAAAATAAGAAATAATTACATAAAAAAAATACAAAAACAAAAAACTACCAAAGATATGTATTAAAAGATTAACTAAACTAAGCTAAATATATGTAAATATTAAATTTAAAAAATAAAAAATAAACATAAAGACAAATTATTGATAAAAAATAATTACAAAAAAAAGGAACAAGAAAATAAATAAATTCAATAACTACAATAAAATAATTTCATGCAACTATGTATGTAAAAGTAAAATATAAATTCAACAGCTTTG